AATTGGCCTTTCATAAAAAAATATTTTCCACTTCCCATATTTATATGAACCAGATATTTTGATATTTGGTGTCATGACATTTGACCCCTGAGGATGGCCTGTTAGTGTTTTCCTTAGTTATGGGTGAACAACATTTAATTACTGAGGATGCTATTTAACATAGATCTCATGTTTGACCATGCACAGAGCGCCCTCACCTGGATATAGACAAATACTTGGCACAGTGATGCATTTCAGGGCTGTAATTGTGGAATGTACGTCAACAAAACTGATCTCCTGTTTAAACTAGTATTTGGACATTGGATAAAAAAAACGTACATATAGTGAAATGACACCTTTTATGGAATGAATTGTCCCAATTAAATAAATAAAATATTATATATATATGTTTATATATATATATATATATATATATTGCATACGCCCTGAAAATCCATCATATTAAAATAGAGAAAATAAGATTCCTTTTATCCATTTGTGGAGAAAAACACTAATGAACTTTTTTTCTGTGTAATATCAGTGTTCAGTGTTTGTCTTTTTCTACAGCACACTATGGCAGAGCTTCAAAAATGACTGTTGGTGTCTGTGTCTGCGTGTGCACCTGTGTGGGTGGTGATGGTTGAGAAAAGCCCAAATTGATTGTTTCCAGAACGACCCGTGGGTCTTATTGATCCACCCTCCACACCACAGCTGCACTGATAAGCTCCATAAACAGTGTCCTCAGGCCCAGAGGCCAGATCTGTTGGTGTCTGAACATTTCTGTTGAGTAAAAGTGTCCACAGCTGCCGTCGGCCTGGTGTTAGGCACTGATCTACATGAACGGCGGGTGGTCTTTCACGTAGACTGCCTGTGACGTCCTGCTAATGTGTGTCAAAGTGAGAAACTCCAATGGTTCTATCTTTAGCAGCCATCAGGAAAACACCCTTCATCTCCACAGGTGTTTAATGGTTTACAGTTAGGACGTCCACATCTGTGGATCGTTAGTGAACGTCTCCTGCCTGTCAGCGGTGTCTCAGCTCGCAGACCTGCAGCGGGAAAAACTACGGCCATGAAACCACGTCACTGTAGCTCAGAGGCTTTTAAAGAAGTGTGTGAGCTTGGAATTAAGTCGATTTCCACGGGGAGAGGGTCCACACAGAGAGGTTAAATGAAGAGTGTGTCAGTGTTATGAATAGCAATACCATAAATGAGGTGACTAATGAGATTGATAGTGACTGTAGCCAGAAATGACAGCGCGGTGGGTGAGGAATGGTATTGATATAGTGCATCGACCTAACCTGGAAATTATATTTCGCTCCACGTAGGGAATCTTCACGGTTTCCCACTCAGCCATAATGAGTCGTCCCCTTTATCAGTCTCCGTAGAGGACTTCAGACACTGAGACACATGAGGTTTTAGAGACCTGACTTGTCATGGTTATTAGAGTAATTGATTTATTTTATGTCCCACTTTCCCCCTCTCCTCTTTCACTCTCTTCCACTTGTCTTCTCGTCTCCCTCTTCCTAGTTTGCTTCAACTGCTTCTTTCTCTGTTCAGCTGCAGAGACTCAAACGATCCTTGTCCTTCAAGACCAAGAGCATTCGCAGCAAGAGCGCCGACAACTTCTTCCGTAACAGCAGCGACAACAAGACCGAGCTGCTGTCGGACGTGAGCAGCAGCACGGGTCATCTCTGCAACATCGGGATGGCCCCGCCCCACACCACCGGCCTCCCCATCCCATCCGCTCCTCCCGCCATTCCCTCTGCGCCCCCGCCCACGTCTCGACCCCAGTCGCGCAACCCCCTGCAGGTGGACTCGGCGGGACACTGCTTCATGGAGCACATCTTTAAGAAGCCGACCTTCTGTGACGTCTGCAACCACATGATCGTAGGTATGGTTCCAGCACCTCCGCCTAATTAGTGAAATCAGTACATCCTCTCAGCACGACACTGGGCATGTCATGAACAATTAAACAAAAACACTGAGAAAAGACAGATATACAGTACTGAACAACAGAAAACACAGAATAATAACTTCTCAGTAATCTACGTTAACTTGGGTTCTGTAATTTAATTTTTTTTTTTATATAAATTTAACGGCATCTGATTCAGCAGTGTAACTGACACTAAGCTCTACCCATTAGAACATATGTCTATAAAACATGGGAGTATCTAGAGTCAGACATCATGATAATAATTAGAGTTTTTTTTTTACTCACTAGACAATTGTTTCCCCAAAACTGGGTTGTGGTCCTCAGGTGGGTCGCAAGAGTTGTTTGTTTTTTTTTGGGTTGTCTCGCATCATGTTTCCCAGGAGTTTACGTATAATGTCCATTCACTTGGGTCGTGAAGATTTGTGACTTTTAAAATATGGGTCCTCAGAAACATGTGATAGTCAGGAGCGTAGAGTCTGGAGAGATTAAAAAAAGTTTAAATAGTGCCAAAAAACATGCATTGGTCAAAAACAAAACTTTACCAGATAGATAGCTTTAATGAGAAAAGTCACGATGCGATGATAGTACAGGTTAGTCAGTAGATTAGAGCTACTCTAGTAGAAGCTAAAGATAATTGCTAATGTTGATTAAATGCAGTTCTGCTAGCAAAACAGAGTAGCAAAAAAAGACAGGGAAAAGGAGCCAAAATGACCAAAACTATGCTAAGATAATTAAGAATAAGGCAAAAAAGACAGGGAAAAAGTGGTCGTTTTTTCAGAGCTACGTTAAGCTTAACATTAGCAAAACTTTACAAGGTAGCTAAGAGAAATCTAATCGAAGAAAAACAATTCATTTGAGCCATTTAAGATGAGGGTGGTTCACTGTTCTAACAACAACAACAACAATCATAATCATGTTTAAGACCATGCTGTATTGACAGAAGTTGTGTTCAGTGTCAGCCTCGCTGTGTCCAACGTTCTCTAACACACCTTTCCACACTGACTACCGTGCTGTACATAGAAGTCAGTCTGCTGACATCTGGTATCTGTATTTGTTTGCTCCCTAATTCCCACACTGACCACACACAGATATTTGACAGAGATTTTCCAGCTCCTCATACCAGTTGCTCTGGATTCTCTCCTGGTTTTCCCTCCTGTTAACCACTGGTGCTGAGTGACCACTGCGCCGTCATATCCTCAGGCCTGCGCAGCGTGATAATGATAAGAGCTGTTTCTTCCATCTGTTTTACAAACCCCTGATAGTGTGTTTGGCTGCAGATGAAACAAACCCGAGGCAGTGCAACTGAGTTAATTGCACTTCAGTAATTGCACTCTTGCTCCTTTTATGTTTGTCTTCTGTTCTACTGTCACATGAAGCGATTGTCACTTTTAGCTGAGCTTATCTTTTATTCCATCTTTCTCACATCTTTGTACTTTGATGTGTATTGCATGGGGCTAGTGGCGCAATGGATAACGCGTCTGACTACGGATCAGAAGATTCTAGGTTCGACTCCTGGCTAGCTCGTAGTTTTCTTTAATTTTCCAAAAGGAAGACGAGTCAGTAATAATAAAAGAAATCTTTTGCAACCATTACTCTTTCGTACTGGACTGTGCTCTTCTTTTTTCCTGTTCTCTCCCATCCACTGGAGAACATGGTCTTATCTCTTTTTCCACATTGTTCTTGTTCTCCCTGGGTTCCCTTGTCAGTGACAGTTCCAGTACGTCTTCTACATCCTCTTCAAAGCAACATTTGCTGTGTGTGAGTTCTTTGCTGTGATATTTTTTCCCTGAGAGGATATCAAGACGGTATTGGCTACTTCTGCTGCTACTACCTCAGAGTTTTCCATGGTAGTTTTTTTTTCTTTCCCAAGGACTTTGGAACTGTCTGATTCCATCTTTAAGACTGTTTCCCTCTGAAGTTGAAGTTGTATGTAAGCTACAACATTCGTGTCTCTTGGTGTCTGTCAAAGTGCAGCTTAGAAAGTCTAACACTGTATAAGAAGTCAAAAAAGAACATTAATATATACTGGCTTCCATAGCATCTGTGCAAAAGATCCATAAAACACGAATCACAACCGACCGGTAATTATTTTCAGTGTAATATTTAAAACACAGACAACAATAAGCCTCAAATCACAGTTTAATATTTGAAAGAATTCAGTTTAATTGAATAATAATTGGAATAAAATTAATGAAAGCTGCTCAGACTGATCGTGATGTTCAGATGAACTGGAGATACTTCATCTCGCTCACAGTCATTCATTAAGCCTTAATTACACCAAGGCAGAGGAAATGACATTAGTAAATATTTAATAAGGTGACAAATATATTTATATCTAAGAGTTTTCTTCAAGGCGTTATGGGGGGTGGGGGGTAGGAAATGTACGTCAAACCTTCATACACATGTCATATATACATATATTTTATATATACGTATATGTATGTAGGTGTTTGTGCATGTGTAGCTCCTCGTTAGTATAGTGGTCAGTATCCCCGCCTGTCACGCGGGAGACCGGGGTTCAATTCCCCGACGGGGAGACCACATAAGTTTTGCATTTCCCCACTGTGGTACGAGTAAAGGATTTCTTATCTTATCCTATA